TGTCGTGGGTTCTTAGGCTCGATGACACGTGGCGCCGTTGAGATGGCGGCATGGAGCCCGAGGAGTTGCATTCCGGTGACGGTGCTGTCATGGCGATGCTGCGGGATGACCTCCTGCACATCGTCGTCGTCGCTTTCTGGTTCTGGTGGAGCTGATGGTGCTGCTCCTCCGCCGTTTCCGCTCCCGCTTCCTCCTGTTGCGCCTCCTGCTGCGCCCGCTCCTCCTTCTCCTGAATCATCGTCGTCGTCGTCGTCGTCTCGTTGATCACCTCTCGTGAACTCGCCTCTGGGGTCCTGCTCCAGAATTGCTGCTGCGACTTCGTCCTCAGGTGAGGCGTAGCTGTGGCCGTCATTGGCGTAGACGCGGTTCGCGTTCGTCTGCTCGTCTTTGCGGAACTGCTGGAGGAAGAGGCGCTCGTAGAAAATGACGTCGCGCGCGTTCTTGATTTTCTGGCTCAGGAGATCCAGAATGATCCACGCCTTGTGTTCGTGGCTGATGCCGAGGTGGACCCCCCAGCGTGCGCGGCTCTTGAACTTCCCGATGATTGATGTCGGCGGGCGATATTGGACCATGCACCCCCACACGCGGAGCATGGATGTGTCACCCTTCCTCCCCGTCCACTTCACGTGCGGTGAGGAGTTGCCGGTGATCGCGGTGGTTGACAGCAGGTTGTGCACCCGTACGGCGTGATGCATTGCGTAGGTCCAGTAAATCGGCGGAAGCTTCGATTGCCTCATTAGCGCCCGCACCTTCGTCATGAGAGTGCGATTCGTGTGCTTTGCCACGCCCTGCTGTTGATGTGCATAGGGGAGGGAAACGTGATGCTCGATCCCCTTTTGCGCAAGGTAATCCTGCAGCTCCTTGCTCCTGAACTCCGCCGCGCCGTCGGACTGCTAGATCTTCAATTTCTCCCCAGATTGCCGCTGTGCGTGCGCCAGCCACAAGCGGAATGCCTCGTATGCCCTGCTGCGTGCTTCCACGTTTACGACCCACACGTGGCGTGTTCCAGCATCGACGAAGGTGAGCGTGTAGAGCTCGTCGTTGATGCCGCAATGTCCTACGTTGAGAAAGTCACTGTAAACTTTCTCCAGCTTGGCGTAGCGATTGGTTCCCGGCTCGAGCAAGGGGAAGGGCTGGTGACTCAGCGCGGCCTCGGGGCAGATGGTGCAGGTGCGCGGGTGAGTTCTGCCTCTTACTTCGGAGCCGTCAGGGCGCAGCAGTGCGCCAGGTGCGAAGACGCCGGCGTCGATGCAGTTCCTCAGGGTCACACGCGAGGGGTGACCTAGGCGCTGGTGCCAGATGGCGTCGTCAGCGCGGAATCCGGAGGTGCGCATGTAGCGCGCAAGTGCTTCTGCGGGGTCCTCATCAGGTGCCGTCTGCAGAGTCGCCGCTGCTTCTTCTGCTTCATCTTCTTCGTTCGCCGTTGTCAACATTAGGGCGAGAAATTCCCTGTCGCGAATGATGGAGTAGGGGATGTTGGTGCCGGGGATCGTCCCAGGGACAAATGTCGGTTCGCGTGGTTCAGGGGCAGGTCCGTAGACAGTGCGTCGCGGTGTGGATGGCTCGTTGCCCCAGTCGATGGTGTCCCAGGGGTCACTTCCTGAAGGGATGTCAGGTGGCGGTGGTGCTAGTGCAGGGCGGCGCCGAGGGCGTCCAAGAGGAACAACAGGAGGTTCGACCTCAACTTGCGCTGTTTCTTCTGCCTCTTCCCCCCTTTGATCCTCGCGGAAAGCTCCCCAGCCGCTCGTTTCTCCGCCAGATGATGCGCCCCATCCGCCTGTGTCGCCGCCGGTTGCGGCTCCCCAGCCGCCTGTGTCGCCGCCGGTTGCGGTTCCCCAGCCGCCTGTGTCACTTGTTCCCCACCCGCCAGCGCTCCCCCACCCCCCTTCATTGGAGGCACTTTCCTTGTCATCCTCCCAAGCGAGCGTTCCGCGCGCCTCGGTGAGGCTCGTCTGTCGAAGCTCTTCGGCTTCGCGTTGCGCCAGTGCCTCTTCTTCCGCCGGCGAGAGTTTCTGCTTCGAATCGCGCCGATGAGCGTAGATCTCTGCCGCCTTTTCTTCGGTGTAAGGCCGTTGGTTGCCTTGTGCGTCGAAGGTGCCGACACCGACGTCGCGAAGCATCCCTTGGAGGTGCTGGGATGCGGGCCTGGGGAGAGGATTTTCCGGTGTGCCGAAGACAACCCGCGTGGCTGTTTCCAGTTCCAGTTGCGATAGGCCCTCCTCAGGAGGTGCGTCGCGTTCTGCTTCGATAATGGCGGCAAGGCCACGGCCTGCGATCGCGCTTGTCGAGGATGTGGGTGTGTGGCAGTCCCTGCAGATGCCATCAGGATCAGGGTCGTGTAGCGCCAGCTCGCGCGGATGTGGGTGATGAGGCACCCAAGGGCGCCCATCAGGGTGCTTCCAGTCGCGGCAATGTATATGTTCAAAGCGCAGGGGAACAAGGTCGATCAGCTCCTGCGAATCGCCGCTGCAGTCGGGTATGTCAAAGTCGAGAACGTACACTCCGTTCTCGGCGTGCGCCCGTCCGATCTGCTTGCGCATCTTGTTCGGCATTGTGAAGTGGAGCAGAATGTCGCGCGTCTCGGGGTCGGTGCTGAGGATGACTCCGCAATCCAGGAGTTGCGCCGCCGAAAGCAGGTTGAAACGCAGGTTCTGCACAATCAGCACGTCATTCAAGGTGATGTGCGTTCTGCTCCCATGTGCCTTGAGCACAACAATGCCTTGCGCGCTTGCGCGCAGCCGCGTATTGTTCGCCACAGTGACGTAGGTGACGGCAGGGGTGGCGACGGCGTTGGATATGTAACGCTCAGAGCCCACCATATGCTGCCCACAGCAGCTGTCCAGGTACCACGTGTTGTAGCGCCTGTTGTCGTTTCGCGCGAGCAGCGCCAGTCGCGGAGTGACGATGTGTGGAGTGTCAACCTTCAGAAATTGTTCGCGTGCGATCCAGTCGATCGGTGCCGGCCGCATGTCAGGTATGTGCGGGGGGCTTTCAAGCAGCGGGACTGGGAGGTTCCAGTCCTGTTTGGCATCGTCGCTGAAGTCGTGATGCGTGCTGAACGGGTTGTTGTTCGAGGACGCTCCGATTGGGTCAGGCGCCGGCTCGGGTGATAGTGAGCGTGCGCGCGGGCGACGAGAGCCGCTCGTCATGGTCATATTACCCATGACATTGCGGACGGGGGCAGCCTGTGATGGCTGCTGCTGCTGCTGGACTGTCGGGTTCAGGTTGAGCGATGGGGGTTGATACCCCTGGGCGGGACGCGTGTCGTTCCTCGCGTCTTGTCGGCCGGACCAGTTGCTCGGATTGGTCTGACGAGGGCGAGATCGATGCTTGCATCGATCTGCCAGGTGCCCGAAGTTTCTGCAAATTTTGCAGTAGAGGCGCCGCGGCCGTCGCTCTTCCGTGTTGTCGGCGTAGAAGGCGAGGCGTTCCCTGTCTCGTCGCGACGCTGGTCGCTGTCTGGTCGCGCTGCCCCGCCACTCGGGGCCGAGCCCTTGGAGCACGATATTTACGAAGATTTCCTCAGAAATCGTGCTCCCTAGTTTCGCGATTTGATCGCGTAGGCTCCGACAGCGATTCAGGTAACTGTTGGCCTTCTCTCGTGGTGCCATTTTGGTCTCCAGTAGCTGCTGGAGTAGACGGCTCGACGACACCGAGTCCTTCGGTTGGTACACACCATTCAGGTGGCGCCAGGCGTTGAGGGCTGGAGCAGGTGAGGTTTTGTATGAGTGAATGCTCAATTGCTCCGTCGGTGACATATTTCGAAGAAGAACCCCGTACGCCATCAGGGACTCGTTGTAGTACTTGATTTTTGCGTCGTCAGTTTCCTCCGTGGGTCCCGAGTAGCTCCCGTCAAAGTAGTGAAAAATCTGCGCGTTTTGCAGCAGCAGTTCCAGCTCGAAGCTCCAGGTATAGAAGTCTCTGCCGTCAAAGCACACACTTGTCTTTATTTTTTATATGCTCAAAAACCTTGATTGCGCAGAGAGAATTGCTTCATCGCTGGGACAGGGAGTCTTGGGTGTTGAGCCGTTTGTGTCAAGAGAGAAGCCTTGCGGGGCGGAGTTCTGGCCGATCGAGGCCGGTTGAGTGGGTTGGGAAGATGTTCCCGCATCGCCATTCCGCAATGTTTGGAGCCCTTTCTCCAGGCTCGTGAGTCGCTGAAGCAGTTGTGCGAGGACGACGGAAGGGATTGTCGTCGTTTCCTCATTTGTCGCAGCTGGGTTGGGCTGCGCTTCAGCCGTCAGATTTGTCTGACCTCCAGATCCTCCGGCCATTCTCACACGTGAGCGTGTGCCGGACGCCACTTTCCGTTCGCTGAAGATTTCAGTGGTGGCGGTGCGAAGGATTCCTGAGTCGCTCTCATACCATGTTGCGATCAGAAGTTGATCACCCTCAGGATCACCTCAGGAAGGTTCGCACAGTCCTAGTCTAGTGGTGGTGAGCCCTTGACCTCAATAGCAGAGTGGATGTAAATGCTTGAGATAATAAAAACATGCAGTACAAGGAATATAAATAAGATTACAAAGGGATACCAATCGACCTAGCTAGCCATGTACTCTAAGGGGTACATTCCCTTATTGCAGCGAAATCCAACCGTGCGACTCCAGACAGTTACGAAACTGTTCGGGCAGAATCCTCACCACTGCTGCTGCCTGATGCTGTCTGCCCGACGGTCCAGATCCTTTCGTAACCGTGTGACTCTTCGTGTCACCTCCGCCTGTCCGTCTTCGTTCTCGGTAAAGCGTGCTTCGATTGCTGCGGTGAGGAGTGTGTAATAGTGTTTCAACAATCACTATTCGTAACACTTTGTTATTCGTTTTCCGAGCAACTCTGGTTTACAACTCATAACAGCCCACTTTATAATAGGTAATGACGTATAAGTTCAACTATGGACATAATGATTTCTGTACAAGGTATCGAGATCAAATTGTGGTGTATTCATAGGCTCACAAATAGGTCCAGAAGCTAATCCATTACCTCATTTTGCCGAGATTCGCGCGATGGAGCCGCACCGTCTTTTAGCGTCTCTATCCAAACCGTCCGACCGCCTCTTCCTCTTGCGCGTAGAGGATGACATCCTGCGTTTCCTCTCCTCCCCGTGGGGCTCCGGACCCCCTGACACCCCATTCATTCCGCGACATTCTCTTCCCGTTTCCCCCAACGCCTGCGGAGCTCCGGCCGCAAGCTCCTCTCGAAGCAGCGCGCCGACCGCTCCAGCACTTAGCGCCGCTGCGCGGTCTCCGGAGCAAGCTGGCAGAGCTAGTTCCGCGCGCCATGGCGGAGAGGGAGCACTTGCGCGGCGGCGCGTGCGGCCAGGCGCGGAACCATGGACACGTGGCCGCTCCGCACGCGCCAACGGCGAAGCGGGGGAAGGAAGTGGCAGGTTGGTGGTGACTGTAGAAAGTGATACAGCAACGGGGGCCGCGGAAAAGAAGATACGCGCCGAGGTTGAGGCGCGGGTGGGGGCCAGACCTGGGGAGGGAGAGGCGCGGAAAGAGGATGGGGAAGCGGGGGGGGTAGCGGCGCAGGAAGGGGCCAGGGAAGCGGAAAGAAAGGTCTCGCGCGGACGCGGGCATGGGGTTGACGGGGAAGCAGAGCTACGAAAGGGGCAGGATGAGGGGAGATTGGCGGAGAGGACAGGGGGAGCGGAGGGGAGTGGGGGAGATGTTGGCGCAAGAGAAATGAGGGGGGAGGCGGAAAGAGGGGAGAGTGACTTGGAGGAAGGAGTGGAAAGTGGGGAGGAGGGGGCGGGGAGTGAGGGGGAGAAGCAAGGGTTTCAGAGGAGGGTGTGCAAGGGGAGAGGGTTTAAGGCGCACCAAGGGGGAGGCGCATGGGCGGCAGCTGCGGCAGCTGACGCGCGGATAGCAGCAGGGCAGCAGGGAACGGCAGGGGTGGCGAATGATAGTAAAGCAGGCAGGCGCAGAAAGAGTTGGGAAGGATCAGCAAGAGGAGAGAACAGTGCAGCCGAAGAGAATTCAGCTGAAAGGTTTGTTGAGGGTGTCACCGCAGGGGTCGAATTGGCAGGAGGCGTAAAGACAGGGGGCGTCACGACAGGGGGCGTCACGACAGGGGGCGTAACGGTAACAGATGGAAGTGAGATGGGAAGGGAAGGAACTGCAAGACGCGCTTCAGATGCGATGCTGGTGTTCCCAAAGCTCCACTCCTACCATCGCCTGCTCGTGCACTCCACAGCCAAGCGCTTCCGCCTCTCCTCCTCCTCCTACCCTCTCTGGGGTAACACTGGTTACAAGCACGTGTGCTGCAGCCTCACTACGGAGCAACTCGCTAGTAGACCTGCATCAGGAGACCAAGCCGGATACTGTACTCTTTGGAGTAGTTTCGTGCCTCCACTGATGCTGTGTGATTTTATTCCGGGCGGCGGGAGTCGAGAGCAGACCCTTGAGCAGGCGGCACAGGCCTGCTCGGTGCCAAAACGTTTCTCGCTGCCCGTTACTGTTGCTGGAGTAGGGAGGAGAGAGGTGCAGGGTGGGAGAGAGTGGGAGAGACGTGGTGGCGGAATGGATGAGAGCAGCAAGGAGCGAAGGGGAGGAGGAGGAGGGAAGTGTGGCGAGCATGCAGAGAGCGAGGGGGATGAGGTGTCTCTTGTTCCTAAGAGGAAGGGACGGGGAAGGTTCTTATACCATGAGAAGGAGGGAAGCAGTGGGGTAGGAAAGTTGAAGGAGAGGAGTGGGAAAGGGCGAGGAGAGGAAAGGAGTGAGGGGACGAGAGGAGGGGACGACTGGGGTGCAGGAAGAAGAGGGGATGGCGGAGGGAGGGGATTTGGGGAGCACTGGAGGGGTGAGAAAGGAAAAGGGGAGGAGGGGCGGTGGGAGAAGGGCTGTTGGGATGGGGAGAGAGGTGGAGGAGGTGGGGGTAACAGGTGGCATACGAAAGGGAGAGAAGGGAGTGAGAAGGGGGGGAGTGAGAGGCGAGGGGAGGGGAAGGGGTGTGGGAGTGAGGAGAGCAGCGCAGGGCTGACAGCGGCTGAGATGGTGACTCTATCAGAGGAAGATTTCGGGGCAGATGAAGGGCTGGATGGTGTGATTATAACAAGGGCAAGTCATGACTACAGGATGTGGCAGGTGGAGGAGGATAAAAGCAGGGCAGTTGATGAAGGGGATAGGGTGAGAGTGCCTTGGGGCGCCACTGAAGGTTCACATGGTTTGCCTGCAGGTGCCAAGGAGGACTGTGGGAGTGGCGAGGAGTTGGCAGCAGCCGGCACGCGGCACATTCTGGTGGTTCGTGCAGAGCTGTGTGAGCTGGAGAAGGCGATTGAGAAGATAACTGAAATGGTGATGGGCAGCGGCGTCAAGGGTTTGATGGGTCGAGATGGAGGGAATCAGGGTGCTTCTCTTTATCTGAGTGCCGCGGTTGCTGACTCTGATGCTGCTGCTGCATCAGCTACTGTGATCGGGAGGGAGTGCAGCAATGCTGGTGCCGATGCTTCTGCGGCCACAGCTGTTGGCACTCATGCTGGCGTGCAGGTGTTGCATCACAGCCCTGAACCACCGCCTTATGAGTCGCTGCCTGTTGTGCTGGTTCGCAGGGCCGTGCAGGTAACCACAGGGCTGCACCCATCTGTGAGAGCCGTGCCAGTAGCAGCGGCAGAACAAATACAAGGGGCAGGGAAGGAAGCGGAGGGAGAGGAGCGCGAGGAAGCAGCAGAGGCAGCGGGAGTGCAGGGGACAGACGGGGGGTTGGCAGCAGCAGGGACGTTTCTTGTGATATTTGCGTCTGCCGAAATGGCAGGAACGGCTGAGAGGCGGATCCGAGAGGCCAGGCGGCGGGCGAGAAAGGGTGCGGAGAGGAGAAGGGCTGGTTCCGAGGTCGATAGCAGCAGCAGCAGCAGCAGCAGTAGGGGGTCTCGGGATAAGTGTACGGGTGAACGTTTGGAGGGGTGTGCGGATGGATGCTTGGAGAACGATGTGGATGCGAGGTTGGTGGGGGCTGTGGCGTGCTGCCTGTCTGTGACCCGCTTTGAAGACGCGTCAGTTGATGTGCTGGCGAGCTGCTATTGGTCGGTTCCTGCGAGGAGGAAGACCCGCGTGGATGGTGCTGCTGCCGCCCGGCTCTTGTCCAGATCGCTTGTGTGACGAGCAATGGAAGTGTAACCTTAGTGTTTTTCACATGGGCCATTTCACACCACACCATTCTTCAATGTCCCACCCATGCACATGAGCCTTCTTTCACATGTACGGTACAACGTTCTAGACATCCTCCTTGATTGATATGTACACCATTCTAGAAATGGGATACTGGTAGTAATATCGAATCTGAGGGTCTGGTTGAAAACAGTGGCTCTGAGCACTTTCTCCTCACCATATCAGATAGATATATATGCTTTGCTGCGGCAACATGGAAGAACAGATGATTTGCGAGAATAGGTAATCCTGTAAGAACTTGTCAAGCAGTGGGTGGCGGCTTTATTGTTGTGGCATCTTTGGGGCGAACCACACCCGAGTCCACGAGGAACGGCACTTCTGCTGCCAGCCATGGCCCAAGGCCCAAACACAGCGCATGGGCTATCCCGAACCGAGGACTGCGAGCAAGACACGGGGCAACGGGCATGTGGAGAATGGGGGAATGGGGGACCTTTGAGACATCTGAAAAGTATTGTGCTGCCAGCCACGGCCCAAAGCCTGAACATGCTCATGTGCTATCCCAAACCGAGGACTGCCGGCAAAGCCAAGCGGCAAAGGCCATGTGGGGGATGGGGGCGGGGGGGGAAGGGGAGAGGGGGGGAAAAGGGGAGAGGGGGGGGAAAGGGGAGAGGGGGGGGATAGGGGAGAGGGGCGGGAAAGGGGAGAGGGGGAGGGAAGGGGAGGGGAGGGAGTGGAGGCACAAGCGGTTTATACTTTTTTCTTTTCTCCAAGCATTGGAGAGGTAAGAAGGACGAACTTTAGAAAATCAAACAACTAAGGGGTTAGGAGGGGCATAGGGTGAAGCGGAGGCTATTGAACAGACTGACCTGCTCTTTGCCCAGAAAGCCTTGAAATGCAATGTGAGACAAATCTTTCCACCCCGGCATTTGATGCACCTAAGAATGAACTATTGAACAGGCAGACTGACCTGTTCTTTGCCCACAGGCAGGCAGACTGACCTGTTCTTTGCCCACAGAGGCTTGAAATGTATCGTGAGACAAATCTTTCCTCCCCGGTACATCTGAAACACACAATAGAGAGATGGTTTGAAGTTGGGTTTTAGGGTGAGCAAGAGTGATGGACGGAAGTGTGGGGCAAGAGAGCGAGACCAAAACAGAGAGGCAGATACATCGACCTGAACGTCTCTCTCATCCAGACCAAAAAGAGTAAACCTAGCTTTCCCATCGAGATGGTATTTCTGAGGCCCTCCAAGAGGGGTACTTTGCATGACATATATATTCCTGTCACACGTCGCCTTGCATACCTTGGCTGCCTTGCCATCCAATTCCGGGAGCTCTACCTTTATAAAGAATTTCTGAGGTTCCCAAAAGGGTATTCTGTACAACATCTCCCTCAGAGAGGGAGATCTTCCCAACCACATCTTCCCAACCACATCTTCCCAACCACATCTTCCCAACCACATCTTCCCAACCACATCTTCCCAACCACATCTTCCCAACCACATCTTCCCAACCACATCTTCCCAACCACATCTTCCCAACCACATCTTCCCAATGTCAATCTCCCAAGCAGCCCCAAGGCCACACTCACAGTCAACATCCCTCACATACCTTGGCAATTGTTTTTGTGTCAACACAGTCAACATGCACCTCTCGTACCTTGGCTGTCTTGCCATCCAATTCTGGCAGCTCTAGCTCTGGCGCGGTAGCAGGGTAGGTGACGGGGATGTCAAACTGCAGGTCGAACTCGTACTTGATCAGATTGTACACGTACCTTCCGGGCACACAGGAGACGAGAGAGGGAGGCTGTGAGACATCTCAACACTCAAGTGGCTGGGCAGGAGACTGAGATGAACTGCAGGTCGAAGTCACACTTGCTCAGAATGCACACGTTCCTGCCATGCAACACGATTCAGAAGCGACTCAGATCTGGTCGCTATCGTACTTGATCAGGTTTGGTCGGATGGGCAGAGGGTCAGAAACACAGAGGGAGGGAGGGAGGGAGGGGAGGACAGACGGAGAGAGGGAGAGAGGGACACAGGGGGGGAGGGACAGATGAACAGAGGGGGAGAGGGACAGAGGAAGAGAGAGAGAGAGAGACAGAGGAACAGAGGGAGAGAGGGACAGAGGAAGAGAGCGAGAGAGGGACAGAGGAACAGAGGGAGAGAGGGACAGAGGAAGAGAGGGAGAGAGACGGACAGAGGGAGAGGGGGAGAGAGGTACAGCGGGACAGTGGGAGAGGGGGACAGAGGAACAGAGTGAGAGAGGGACAAAGGTAAGGAGGGAGAGGGGGAGAGACCGGGAGAGGCACAGAGGGAGTGAGGGAGAGGGCGAGAGAGGGACAGAGGGAGAGGGACAGAGAAACAGAGGGAGAGATGGGGACAGAGGAAGAGGGGACAGAGGGAGAGGGAGCGAGACGGATAGAGGGAGAGGGGGAGAGAGGTACAGCGGGACAGTGGGAGAGAGGGACAGATGAACAGAGTGAGAGAGGGACAGAGGGACAGAGGGAGAGAGGGAGAGAGGGAGAGAGGGACAGAGGGACAGAGGGAAAGAGGGACAGAGGGAGTGGGGGAGAGAGGGACAGAGGGAGACAGGGAGAGAGGGAGAGAGGAAGAATGGGACAGAGAGGGACAGAGGGACAGAAGAAAAGAGGAAGATTGGGACAGAGGGACGGAGGAAAAGAGGAAGAGTGGGACAGAGGGAGAGAGAAAAAGGAAGACTGGGACAGTGGAACGAAGGAAAAGAGGAAGAGAGGAAGAGTGGGACAGAGGGACTCGTACAATAGATTTGCAAGACTCCCACATAATCACATCCACATCCTTCCAGCCATACAGTTTGGCCCACCCACCCATCCACTCCACCTCACCCACCCATCCACTCCACCCCACCCATCCACTCCACCCCACCCATCCATCCACTCCACCTCACCCACCCATCCACTCCACCTCACCCACCCATCCACTCCACCCCACCCATCCACTCCACCCCACCCATCCATCCACTCCACCTCACCCATCCATCCACTCCACCTCACCCACCCATCCACTCCACCTCACCCACCCATCCACTCCACCCCACCCATCCATCCACTCCACCTCACCCACCCATCCACTCCACCCCACCCATCCACTCCACCTCACCCACCCATCCACTCCACCCCACCCATCCATCCACTCCACCTCACCCACCCATCCACTCCACCCCACCCATCCACTCCACCCCACCCGCCCATCCACTCCACCCCACGCACCAGCATTTGCCCTTCCACTTGGTGCCTTCGGCATTGGCGGGTGCGAGCTGGAACCAGTCGTTGTCGCGCGCCTTGTTCATCTTCACGTACTCGATCAGCGCCTGCCACGCGGGAGAGGCGGGAGAAGGGGGGCGGGGGTGGGGGAGGTGCGTGGGGAGTGGGAGTTGGGTTCAGGGAGACCAAACTGCGGCTGAGGGCAGTCGTTGTCGCTCGCCTTGTTCATATTCACGTACTCTATCAACGCCTGGGAGGCGGGAAGAAGGGGGGAAAGGTGTGGGGGGTTGGAGGGGACGCAGTCCGGTGGGTGGGAAGAGAGCTGCCAGTGAGGTTACCGGGTTACTCATGCACGCCTTGTTCATCGCCACGTGCCCAATCAGCGCCTGGGGGGGGAAACGGGTGCGGCGGGAGGGGGGAGTGGGTGGGGGGTTGAGGGGGCGAAGGGGGGCCGAGTTCGGGTGGAAAGTAGGCTGCTCATGCACGCATCCTCACGTACGATGAGAGCGTGGGACGAGGGAAAGGTGCGGGGGGTTTGGAGGGGGAACCTGGATGGAGGGGAAGAAGACAGTGTATCGGTCACTCATGTTCCTTCGGGTCGCTGTTAGGCTCTGACGCACCAACATTCGGAAACTCGTTTTAAGGCGAAATTCGTTCTAAGGCTCGTTTCGACGCACCTGGAACTCCTCCTTGAGTCGCTGCTTCCATTGATCGTCTCGAGGGCCTGCTTTTACGGTCAGCAGCGGGATCTTTTGAACCGTGGACTTGGTCGTGTTATCCCAGCCGTCCATTGGGGTCGTCCGATCTCTATTTGGGGAATCGATAAGCAAAAGCTGACGGCAGGAAGAAGAGAATATGGATGTTCAGGAAAAAATACTTCCGGTTATTATCACACTATGCGCGAATAAGACGGATCTTCACATAAACCAAATAGCCTGGGTTTAGGCCCAGCAAATCTTCTGGGAGTGTAGTCTCCTACGGTAGCCTCTAGTGTGTCGAGGAACATCAGAGATGTGAAATCTGATGCCGAACCTGCACCCGAAGCTGGAGGGGATTCCGTGGTTTGAACGAAATGTGCTGGGCCCTGATTGCGGCCACACGAATTCACGTTACCATTGATGTCGAACTTTTCCCTAAACTTTTTGAAGTTCGAGCATCTTCACGGCAAAGTTCGAACCTCTTCGGGGATTTTTTTTTTGAACAAATTATGATTGGTGGCAGCACGCGCTAACCTGGAGGACTCTTGGTGGCATCCGAAGGATCACCCCGCGAGGGTGACATTGGGGGATCACACAATTTCGAACCCATTTCGGCGTTCGAAGTTTAGGGATGGCCTCAACGCCGAACCAACTGCGAGCTGCTCGTGACTATGCAGCCGCTGATGCCGCTGATGGCGCCGACGGGGGCGATCGTCACGCGCGCATCGCGGAGCTGGAGCGCGCGGCGCGCAGGCAGCGGAAGGAGCGGCAGCAGCTGCTGGCGCAGGCCGACGCGGCAGCCGAGCGACTGGCGGCGACCGAAGCGGCGATCGCGCGGCTGCTCGCCGGCGACACTCGTGAACGGCCTTCCGAGCAGCCAGCAGCCGTGCTGGCAGCTTCCGAGAAATTGCATCCTCAGTCGGATGTAGAGAGTCCGGAGGGGGTGAGGGATCGGTCGCAGCGGGTGGGGCAGAGGCGGGAGTGGGGTGGAGAAGCGAGCGAGAGGACTCCACACGGCGCGCAGGCGGGCATTCCGAGGGAACAGCGGTCGCAGGCTGACGCTGAAACGGAGAGTGACTATATGGAAGGGAAGAATAGGCGGGACCCGAGCAACAGGCAGATTGTGAGGGGTCGTGGTGATGCCGGCCCTGGTAGGGACGCTCGGGAGAACTTGGATGGAAGGTTTGGAAGGGAGGTTCGGGAGAGCGGAGATGGAAGGTTTGGTAGGGAGGTTCGGGATAGCAGGGACAAAAGGTTTGGTAGGGGTGACGTGGGTGGGGACGACAGAGAGGGACGAGACAGCGGTGGGAGTAGAGGCGGGGATGGGAGTAGAGGCGGGGATGGGAGTAGAGGCGGGGATGGGAGTAGAGGCGGGGATGGGAGTAGAGGCGGGGATGGGAGTAGAGGCGGGGATGGGAGTAGAGGCGGGGATGGGAGTAGAGGCGGGGATGGGAGTAGAGGCTGGGATGGGGAGAGAGGTGAGCGGTATGGTGAGAAGGGACGACGGGGAGAGGGGGTGGGAGTCGGGGATGCGAGGCACAGTGGTGTTGGGACAAGGGATGTGAGTGCCAGCTTGAGGGAGAGGGATGAACATGCGGCGTTGAGGGCGATGGGAGGGACTGGGCTTGCACGGGATAAGGAGGAGAGCGCGAGGGAGAAGGAGGGGAGCGTGAGGGAGAAGGAGGGGAGCACGAGGGAGGAGGGGTGGGAGCGGAAGAGGAGGCGTGAGCAGGGCAGCGAGGAGGAGGGGCGGCGGAAGGTGGGTGGTGGCGGAGGAGAGTCGTGCGAGGAGCAGCGCAGGGTGGCAGAGGGCAGACAGGGGAGCCTGTCTCCCATTCCCCGCCACCATGCTGCTGCTGCTGCTGCTGCTGCTAGCAAGGCGGCAGGGAGCACGGAGAGGGGGAGCGTGCGGGGCGATGGGGGCGGCGCGGGCAGGAAGAGCGCGTCGCCGCTTGCCAGGCGCACCGTGGTGGCGGGTGGGGGGGGCAGGAGGGAGGATGACGTGGAGGGGGGCGGCAGAAAGACGAGGGAATTGTCGCGTGGAGGCGCGGCGCTGCCGGCGGCAGGGATGGCAGGCGGGATGTCGTACGATGACTTTCTGCTGCAGGGGGGGTCGGCTGCACGCGAGGGCGGGAAGGGGCTTCCTGGGAAGGAGCAGCGTGGAAAAGAAGAAAAGAAGACAGGTCAATTCTTTTTTTTTTGCCGCTTTTGTCTCAAACGTCTGGTTGTGCTGGCCATGTTTTGTCTGTGTTCCTGTCGCCCTGCCATCTTGCAAAGCTTGCAGCCCTGTCCTCATGTGTCCTCATGTGTTCTCATGTGTGCTCATGTGTGCTCATGTGTGCTCATGTGTCCTCATGTGTCCTCATGTGTGCTCATGTGTGCTCATGTGTGCTCATGTGTGCTCATGTGTGCTCATGTGTGCTCATGTGTGCTCATGTGTGCTCATGTGTGCTCATGTGTGCTCATGTGTGCTCATGTGTGCTCGTGTGTGCTCGTGTGTGCTCGTGTGTTCTCATGTGTGCTCATGTGTGCTCATGTGTGCTCATGTGTGCTCATGTGTGCTCATGTGTGCTCATGTGTGCTCATGTGTGCTCGTGTGTGCTCGTGTGTCCTCATGTGTGCTCATGTGTGCTCATGTGTGCTCATGTGTGCTCATGTGTGCTCGTGTGTGCTCGTGTGTGCTCGTGTGTGCTCATGTGTTCTCATGTGTGCTCATGTGTGCTCATGTGTGCTCATGTGTGCTCATGTGTGCTCATGTGTGCTCATGTGTGCTCGTGTGTGCTCATGTGTGCTCATGTGTGCTCATGTGTTCTCATGTGTTCTCATGTGTTCTCATGTGTGCTCATGTGTGCTCATGTGTGCTCATGTGTGCTCATGTGTGCTCATGTGTGCTCATGTGTGCTCATGTGTGCTCATGTGTGCTCATGTGTTCTCATGTGTTCTCATGTGTGCTCATGTGTGCTCATGTGTGCTCATGTGTGCTCATGTGTGCTCATGTGTGCTCATGTGTGCTCATGTGTGCTCATGTGTGCTCATGTGTTCTCATGTGTTCTCATGTGTTCTCATGTGTTCTCATGTGTTCTCATGTGTGCTCGTGTGTGCTCGTGTGTGCTCGTGTGTGCTCGTGTGTTCTCGTGCGTGCTCATGTGTGCTCATGTGTTCTCATGTGTTCTCATGTGTGCTCATGTGTGCTCATGTGTGCTCATTTGTGCTCATGTGTGCTCATGTGTGCTCATGTGTGCTCATGTGTGCTCATGTGTGCTCATGTGTTCTCATTTGTGCTCATGTGTGCTCATGTGTGCTCATGTGTGCTCATGTGCGCTCATGTGTGCTCATGTGTTCTCATGTGTTCTCATGTGTGCTCATGTGTGCTCATGTGTGCTCATGTGTGCTCATGTGTGCTCATGTGTGCTCATGTGTGCTCATGTGTGCTCATGTGTGCTCATGTGTGCTCATGTGTGCTCATGTGTGCTCATGTGTGCTCATGTGTGCTCATGTGTGCTCATGTGTGCTCATGTGTGCGCATGTGTCCTCATGTGTTCCCCGCACAGTCCACTGGCCGGTGGGACCTGACCAATCAGAGGAGCTTGTGCAGCTGGTGCGGTGTGAGAGCAGTGAGCAGCGGGCAGCGCGGTGGTTACCACACCTGCTGCCGCCCACCTACATCCCCAGCAACCACCGCCGCCGCCTGCGCTCCATTGAATTCAACCCGGCCAACCCCGCACACTGTGCTGTCAGGTGGGCTCTCTGTTGCTGTCAGGTGGGGTCTCTGTTGCTGTCAGGTGGGCTCTCTGTCGCTGTCAGGTGGGCTCTCTGTTGCAGTGAGGTGGGCTCTCTGTTGCTGTCAGGTGGACTCTCTGTTGCTGTCAGGTGGGCTCTCTGTTGCTGTCAGGTGGGCTCTCCGTTGCTGTCAGGTGGGCTCTCTGTTGTTGTCAGGTGAGCTCTCTGTTGCTGTCAGGTGGGCTCTCTGTCGCTGTCAGGTGGGCTCTCTGTTGCAGTCAGGTGGGCTCTCTGTTGCTGTCAGGTGGGCTCTCTGTTGCTGTCAGGTGGGCTCTCTGTTGCTGACCTAATGTCAAATGCAATGTGAGAGTATTTTCTGGTGCAGTTGCAGCTTCAGGAGTGGGCATGAGGGTTCTTTCCATCCCATACAGCTGATTCCTGTGCAGGACACCTCCTCTTCTTGTTTGTGTGTGAGTGTGTGTGTGTGTGTTTGTGCATGTGTTGTCGTATGTGTGTGTGTGCATGCATGCATGTGCGAGGCGTGCTGCGGTGCACCCCTACCAGCTCGCTGGACGGGACTGTCAGCTTCTGGGCCATCACCGCCTCTGGGTCAGTCTTCACTCGCCTTCTGCCCTTCACTCGCTTTCACCCCTCTGCTCTTGAATCGCATTGACCTCTTGACTCGCGTTGACCCGTGTGCTCTTGACTCGCGTTGACCCGTGTGCTCTTGACTCGCATTGACCCGTGTGCTCTTGACTCGCGTTGACCCGTGTGCTCTTGACTCACATTGACCTGTGTGCTCTTGACTTGTTGACCATCTCATCCCCCTCGCCTTCCTTCCCCTCATGCCCCTCATGCCCCTCATGCCCCTCATGCCCCTCGTGTCCATCGTGCCCCTCATGCCCCTCATGCCCCTCATGCCCCTCGTGTCCATCGTGCCCCTCATGCCCCTCATGCCCCTCATGCCCCTCGTGTCCATCGT